CACATTCTCTTTTCCATTAATGGTTTAGGTTTGCTTTTTTCCACCTCTCTCCCTCTCTTTCTCTCTCTCTCTGCTGTCTTCTCAAACAGTTTCTTGTGGCCTGGTAGGTTGTGTTGTTGGGGTCATAGGCCTTATTTTCCACCCAAGATTTCAATGGTGAGAGAGGAGGGAGCCTCTTTCTTCATTGTTTTTTCTTTTCCCATTTTTTTGATGTTTCACATTTGTGTTCTAGGGTTCTTGGGAGGATAAAGAATTGAGTTCTCTATTCTCTCTCTCTCTCTCTCTCTCTCTCTGAATTCATGAAATTGGTATTTTTTGAGGTTTTTGCTTTCTGGTATGGGTTTTCAAATCTAAAGAGGTTGTGGGTATCAGGTAATTGATCAGTTCTTTAGTTCTCCAGTCTGAGAATTGTGATGTTATACTCTTCCAGAAACTCAATGCAAGTATTTTGTAGTATAAAGTTGTTGAAATTCAATTTTTATTTTTGCTTCAGATTGCTTGAAATTCCTGAAATTGATTGATTCATATTGCTTGAAATTCCTAAAACTCAATTTTTATTATTATTATTATTTTTTTTTTGCTTCAGATTGATTTATTAATTCTGAAATTTTTAGCTTCAGAATTTTTTTTACTTTTTGGTGAATTTTGTTTATGTTTTGGAAGTTTTTGTTAGGAAGAATGATGAGAAAATGAGGGAGGAATGAAGGAAACGGTTGATTTTGGTGATTTGGCAGCTTTAGCAGTTACCAAAGCTTGTGCCAAATTTAACATAAGCTTTGCCATTTGCCAAAGTTAGAGCTGCCAAACCTCACCATTAGAGAACACTTTTGCCCCATACCAGTTATAAAATGGCTTTGGCAACTCCAATAGCAAACCATTGGAGATGCTCTTAAGGTATGTTTGATTGACATGAATAGAGCATGAGATTGAGATTATTAATCCATGGGCTCAATAATCTTGTGCATGTTTTGAAATTTTGTTTCAAGATTATTAATCCAATGGATAATTAATCCAACAAATTTATAGGATTATTAGTAATGGGGTAGAGGTGGGATTATATATCCTGAGCTAGGAAATAAAAATAAAAATACTCTTTTACCCCTAACTATATAAGCAAAAATGTAAGCCCAAATCAAAGTCATTTCTACATAACAAATACACAACAGCTTTGCTAAGAGAAAAGCAACGATGAAAAACTCTCTATCTCCGTGAAGATCTCCATCTCGGTGTGCCAATTTCAACCTTCGTTCACCGGAAAATTGACCATCGACACTGAAAAACTCTCATTACCGGTGAGAGCATCATCTTCGCCATTTATTTTTTTCCAAATTTTTATCTATTTCAATAATTAATTTTACATGTTTGGTTCAAAATTTATGATAAATCATCATTGTCAGAATTTATGAGATGTATTTGTATATATATACATAGATTTATGTATTTGTAACAATGTTTTGATGGTTTTGATATATTATATACTAGATTTTGCAATGATTGATGGTTTGATTTGATTTTCAGAATTTATATATAGATTTATGTATTTATTTGATTTGTATTTGTATTTGTTTTTGGTTTTTATGTATGAATATATATATATATATATAGATAGATTTTAAGAATTTAATAGGAATTTTCAAAACTGATGTAAATATATTATATTAGGAATTTTCAAATATAGGAGGTAAATCGTAAATCCATGATACATAGCTCATGTTTGTTTGTTTTTGTCTATATATAACTATACTACAACTATGTATCTTTTATTGTTTTTTAACTTTTCTTTTTAATTTTACCATTTAGGATGTGTTTGGATCACTAATTTGGGTAGAAATTTGAAAAAAAAAAAAAAAAAAAAAGGGATTCAATATCCAAATCCATGATTCAAATAGAAAATTAAGCTCCATTTGGATTGCTATGGATTTGAAATTAAGGTATTTGAGGCTGAATTTAGTGGGCTTAAAACTAAAAATAAATGGGAAAATTAGAACAAGGGCTTAAAGAATAACAGGGGTTGAAAATTAGGTTCTGGCTAGGTATGGTGTGTTATATGTTTTGATTTCAGGTCAATTGTATTTTTTTTAAAATCTATTTGTTAGTATGGGATGTTTTAGGATTTGGGTTTTGCTCAATTTTTGTTGGGTATGGTAGTTTTGCTTAATTTTTGCTCAAGTGTGAGAATTGATGGACTAATTAGCATGTTATAAAGATCTTCCTGATGTGTTAGTTGAAGCATTTGTAGATGGACAATAATAAGTGCTCGGACAATACGATGGACCTATTTGAAGCATTTGTAGCACTCCAAGAAGTTGTGTCATCTATTAACTATGTATGTGGTGTGTACGTTATTGTACTACATGTTGCCTTTGAGAGGTACCAACTAGGTTGGATATGAAAAGGTCACCATATCCCTTCCAAGCACAATTAGACTATTTGAATAGATTGGTGAAGGATAGCGATATTGATTGTCATGAACAACTCCAGGTGAATAGGCATACCTTCATGTGTCTTTGTACACTTGTCTGAAGTGTGGGATTATCTTATTCCAAATATGTCTTCTTAGAGGAGAAAGTAGTAATAAGGCTATTTGTTACAGCTTTTTGGGGGTGATTATAGCTTATTTTGATTTGGGAGTCTGTGCCAGACTGTTTGATGGAGCTTCTGCTTATAGGTTATTAGGCAGATATAGCTTACATAGGCTGAAAAAAGCTGATTATTTGAAAGCTGGCATATGGGTGCTTTTAACTTTTGCTTTATGATTATCAGCTTTTAACTTAAAAAAAGTTCCACAAGGCCAATGTTCTTAAATGTAATTGCACACAACTATAAGAATCGCAACATCAAAGTTCAATTTCATGTGATCTGGGCAAATAGTTATGTATAAGATATTGAAGATGTTATATTTCTAGTTTACACACATCACTGTTCTACAAACTATTGTGAACACTATTTTTCTTAATTTAATATTAAACTTGAGTTGATTGGTGGACCCAAAAAAAAAAAAAACCATAATCTGTTACATGTGGTTTTATGATAATATAATATAGACTTGTGTTTAATTACCATTTGACTTCTGTTTACAAGCATCTTTTATGTGATGTATTAGAAAGAGATTTGATCACTTTTTCAATAGCGAAATCATAAAAAAGTGAGATCTTTTTTTTTGTCGAAGTGTGATCTTTAACTATTTTTGTAGTAGTGATGTTTGGTTTGGTTTTTATAAACTTGTTTTAAAATTGTTTTGAAAATTAATTTGGTGAAAGAATTTAAAAAAAAATTAAAACACTTATTATTTTATATAATTTCATATTTTAGAAAGCTAAAAATAATTTTTAAAAATTTAAAAATATTTTCTGATATTTATTTTATCAAAATAGTTTATATTTAAAAAAATAAAAAAACAAACCAAACATGGCCTTTGTATTTTTTATTTTTATTTTGCTTTTATTTATTTATTTATAATTTTTTTTCAAAACCACATTTATGAAGAAATTTTGATAAAGATTGTGAAGAAATATTGATAGAGGGTAAGATTAGAAAAAAAGATAAATATAATTGTAATCCTATATTAAGATATTTTCTTATCCAATGCAAATCAAATAATGAACACCCACCTCTTGGTTCAAGAATTAGGATGTCAACTTCCACCAACAACATCTCCGATCACTGAAACCAAACTGTTCTGGAAAAATCGTCTGAAGAGCAAGACCATCTTACCAGAAGTACCAAGAAAATTAAAAGCTCTACCTTCCAGGCTCAAGAAGAAATAAAGCAGGTGATGAATATGGAAATTGAAGTCCCCACAGAAACTCCTAACTCGCAAGAGCCTCCCTCGAGAATGATCCCCCCTCCCAAATCGTTCAAGGAGGCCCTGAACACGGTTAAACACAGTGACTATTTGTTTGACAATAGAGTGGGCATTCTCTCCTTCGATGAAGATGATGATGATCAACACTCTTCAGTCGAGAGTACCCTCTCAGAACGCATGGGCATCCCCAAAGTCTCGCTCCCAAGGAAATTATTGGATAAGATCATAAAACTGTGGAAAAACACATTAATCATCAGATTACTGGGCAAAAGTATTTGGTACAAGATGCTCTGCTCTAGGGTGAAGAATCTCTGGGGCCTCCTTGGTGAATTTAACGCCATAGATTTGGGGAATAATTATTTTCTTTTCAAGTTCTCTGAACCAAAGGACTATACTAAGGTTTACACTGGAGGGCCCTGGGTGATAATGGATCATTACCTCACGATTAGACGGTGGGAACCTAACTTCAAACCATCGGAAGCCTTTGAAACCACAACCGTAGTATGTGTTTGGTTTCTGGAGCTTCTAATTGAATACTACCAGGACAAAGACTTGTTTGTAATCACCAAATCTATAGGAAAACCTCTCAAAATCAACTAGACAATGGCTATGGCTACCAGGGGGAAATTTGCCAGAGTGTGCATTGAAATCGATCTCAGCAAACCACTGCGACTTAAATTCATCCTCGAGGGTAAATACTATAATATCGAGTATGAATCACGTTATTCTTTCTATTTTCTATATGGAAGAATCGACCATCGTAAAGAAGCTTGTCGATTCAAGGCCCTAAATGTTCCATCGCCGATGACCAAGCTAGCCATTTCTGATGAAGTAGTCAACATCACCAAAACCACACCCAGCAACGTTAACCTGAAACTGGCCAGAGAAAATGAGGTAGAATTCAGCCCATGGATGTTAGTCACCAAATGCACTCGCAAACCAACCCAGACAAAGAAATCCCCAGATCCCATAGGCCCATCTTCAAAGCCCAACAAATTTAAATATCTTGAACTGGACCATATGTAACACGAGGAACATATCAAATGAAGGACCAACCTAAGCTCTACACCAACGGTAGACCAAGAGCCCAACACCCAATCAGGCCCAACTCCATCCATTGACAATAGAGGCAAGGAAAAAATTGGCCCAGTTCATCCCAAACCCATGGATATAGAACCTAAATGTAAATCACATCCTAATCTGAAGACTCTAGAAGCTAGCTCCTCACACTAACCCACTGAGCTAAGACCAATAGCACGTGATGATGCACAGAAGTGTAACACTAGCTGTATCAGTGAAATCAAGTCCTTAGATGAGCCAACTGACATGATCTACACCTCAGCAAACCCACCACAACCAATAGATTCAACCATGATTGAATCTACCCTCACAGACCCCCTACTGAGAACCCAACTCCCATAACCCAAGTTAACCACTTCACTGAGAAACCGTGGAGACAAGAACCAAAACCACCAGACCCAGGAATTCTCACCAATAGAGACAACAGGGAACACCGAACCAGAGCAATCGATGATAGGAGTGCAAGAACACCAGAACCAGAGCAGATTAGTGGGTCTATTGTTAGATCTCGAGAACAAAGCAACTCACCTCATTGCTTTCGCTTGGTGGATCGAACAAATTCAACTGAACATAGAGACAAATCGGGAGAGCACTCTAGTGAAACCAACTCACTCGATCCAGATGGTGTCCATGAGATCTGTGGAGGACGACCATTAACGCATTTGGAGCATCGTCAAAGATTTGGCAACTGATATACCCCCTACCTATCCTTCTATGGATTTGTTAAAACTTCTTATCTGGAACTGTCGCGGTGCCGACAAAAACACTTTCAAACGTAACCTTGTTGAGATTATTCGAGTTCATAAACCGGAAATCCTGATCTTGATGGAAATGAAGGTGGCCTTTAGTACTATAGGAAACTTCTTTAACAGGTTGGGTTTCACTGCGTCAACGTTTGTTGATCCCATTGGCAGATCTGGTGGTATCTAGATTGTTTAGGACACCAGCCATGTTAACGTCAAAGCTTCGTCACTCAGTTCCCAAGCCATCCACACCACTGTCCATAAAGAAGACTATGAGGAATAGGTCCTAACAATGGTTTATGCTAACCCAAAACCCCTCCCTTAGGGACTTGTTGTGGAATGATGTTGAGTCTGTTGCACAAAACATGGAAAAACCTTGGCTGGTGGTCAGGGACTTCAATGATTATGGTAGCCAGAATGAGAGAAGAAGTTTCTCTCCAAATCGTAACTCTAGAAGGACCCATAAATTTCTTGATAAGGTGAACAATTGCAACTTATTAGACCTGGGTAGCACAGGCCCCAGACTGACATGGAGGAATAACAGACAAGGCCTTGCCAATACCATGGAGGGGCTTGATCGAGCTATGTGTAATAAAGATAAGAGGACAATGTTCCCTGAAGCAACTGCCCAAGCACTCCCCAGAACATATTCAGACCATTCTCCATTGATAGTCCACACCCAAGGTATGCATTCTCTGCACCCCTATCGCCGACCCTTTAGGTTTGAAGCTGCTTGGATGTCCCATCTTGGTCTCTTAGATGTGATTAATTCCTCCTAGCAAGATATGAACAACAACCTCCTTGAGTCCATAGTTGAATTCACTCTCAGAGTGTCAGTGTGGAACAAGGAAGTTTCTGGTAACATTTTTAAAAGAAAAAGACTTTTACTTGCTAGAATTAATGGCATCCAAAGAGCCCAAACTACTAATTTCTCCCATAGCTTACATGCCTTAGAAAAGGACCTCATCAATCAGTATAATGTCACTCTTTTTCAAGAGGAAATGCTTTGGTTTCAAAAATCTCATTCTAAATATACATCCCTTGGTGATAAAAAAAAACACCATATTTTTCCATGTTTCTGCCATAAATAAGAGGAGGAAACTAAAAATTAATGCCCTTAAAGATTTAGATGGAAATTGGATCACAAAGATAGAGGGAATCAAGTCCATAATCTTGAGCTATTTCTCTAACCTTTTCAAGAAAACTGACATTCACATTCTTAACCATTAGAGAAATATTGTTCCCATCTATTTTACCACTGAGGATAATGTTGATTTCCTCAAACCCATCTCCAATACTAAAATCTTGAGAGCTGTTAAGAATATTGGTGCCTTTAAAGCACCAAGAAAGGATGGTATGCAAGCCATCTTCTACCAGAAGTATTGGCACACTGTGGGTAAGTCTGTTTGTGATTTTGTCATTGATTGCTTCCATAAAACCAACATCCCCCATACTATTAATGAGACCTTAATTGTGTTGATCCCCACAGTTGACAATCCTGAGAACATTAAACAATTTAGACTTATTAGACTTTGCAATGTCTCATATAAGATCATTACTAAGCTTATTGTAGGTAGAATTAGACCTTTCCTTGATAAAATCATCTGTCCTAACCAAAGTAGCTTCATACTTGGGAGAAACACAACTGATAACATTATTATCACCAAGGAGATCCTTCACACTTTGAGAAACAAAAAAGGCAAGAATGGAGGTATGATTTTTAAAATTGATTTGGAAAAGGCTTATGACAGACTCTCATGGGATTTCATTAGAGATACTTTGTATGAATTTAAACTCAATGAACAATGGGTGGAATTGATTATGTGTTGTGTTACTGATACCAAATCTTCTATTCTCTAGAATGGTGAAATTCTAGATGGCATTCCTATCGAGCAAGGTCTTAGACAAGATGATCCTCTATCACCCTACATATTTGTGCTTTGTATGGAAAGGTTATCCAACATGATAAACCTTAAAGTGAGTGAGGGATCATGGCATGGTATCCAAGCTTCTATGAATAGCCTCCTTTTATCTCATTTGTTTTTCGCTGATGATCTTATTCTCTTTGCTAAAGCTGACCACTCCAACTGTGAAACTGTTATGGATGTCCTTAATGACTTCTATCAGATCTCTGGTCAAAAAATCAACCACTTGAAATCCAAAATCTTTGTTTCTCCCAACCTCTCTTCTACTCAAGCCAGGTCCCTAAGTAACCAATATGGTATTCCCCTTACTCAACTACACACCATCCACTACACCTACATCTATATAAGGAACCATTTGTAATAGACAGAAAATATCAATATCAATCAATAATATCTCAATTTAACACTCAAGACCTTGGTAAGTATTTGGGATCTCCCCTCCTTCACATAAGGATTAGCAAACATACTTTCAATGAAGTTCTCGAGAAGCTAAAGTTTAGATTATCAGGTGGGAAAGCTAAAAACCTCTCCCTTACAGGTAGGATTACTCTCATTCAGTCAATTACTTCTGTTATCCCTTCCTACAATATGCAAACTATGGAACTCCCTAGGAAAGTTTGTGATGAAATAGAAAAATCAATAGGAATTTCCTATGGGGTGATACTGAGTATGAAAGAAAAATACATCTTGTCAACTGGGACAGTGTGTGCAAAAGTAAAAAGGATGGTGGCCTTGGAATTAGAAAATCTAGAGAGCAAAATTCAGCCCTCCTCACCAAACTTAGGTGGAATTTACTGAGTGATAATAGCAAACTCTGGTGCCAAATCCTTCAATCCAAATATTTGAAAAACCATTCTTTCTTCTGTTGGTCCCAGAAAAAGACTTCATTTTATAACTGGAAGAGTATCGGTCACACTAGAGATACCCTCAGAAACTGTGTTAAGTGGAGCGTAGGCAATGGTGATACAATCTCTTTTTGGAATGACTGGTGGTGTGGAACACAACCATTGGCTAATAATTATAACCCCACTCATACTAATGACTCAACCAAGGTCATCAATGTTCATGATGATGAAAGGAATTGGGACACTGATATCCTTGCCAACCTTGTGAACCAACAAGACCTCCAAGAGATCACAAAGATCTACAGGCCCAGATTTGTGACCTACCCAGATGCCCCTTTGTAGAATGGGTCCACTAGTGGTATTTTTACCACTGCCTCTGCTTACAAAGCTATCACTACTCAAGAAGGAGGTGATAGATATTGGAAATGGATCTGAAAATTGCAGTTTCCCCTGAAATTAAAGTGTTTTCTTTGGCTAATTTTGAAGGGTAGATTACCTGCCAACCACCTGAGGCTTATGAGCAACATGGCATCATCTAATCTTTGCCCTCGATGCGGGCTGCTTAGTGAGGATATGAGCCGCCTCCTCAGAGATTGTCCCACTTCCAAAGCTGTCTGGATCGAAATCACCAATCATATCTGGTGGGAGCAAAGATGTGGTCAACCTGTGTTTGAATGGGTTTCATCAAATTTGAAAAATAAAATGTTGTTTTGTGGTTTTAAATGGCCCCTCATATTTACTGTCACTCTTTGGCAGATTTGGAAGAAGCGTAATTCTTTGGTTTTTGAAAACATTTTGGTACCCATTCAAACCAGTCTTGAGAACATCAAGACTTATGTTCAAGAGATTGAACAAGCCTTCCACTTCCCTCTCCACCCCAACCCTTATCATCCTAGACTAATCCACTGGTCTTTTCCATATCCAGGTCAACTCAAACTTAACACAAATAGATGCTCTAAAGGTGACCCAGGCCAAGCTGGGTATGGAGGACTACTGCGGGATGAAACTGGAACTTGGCTGTGGCGATACTATGGTAAACTAGGCCACTGCTCCAGTCTGGAAGCTAAATTATGGGGCATATACAGGGGCCTCATCATCCTCTTTCAAAAAGGCACCATAAATGTGGTAATTGAAATTGATTCTACCCAAGCTATCACATAACTCCAGGATGGACCAAGCCATCACTCACCTTATAAGGCCCTCATTGAAGACACCAAGTTTCTCTTGAATAGATGCAACTGCTCCATCAACCACTCCTTCCGCGAGGAACAGAGTAGCTGACAAACTAGCAAATTTGGGAGTAACCCAGGATGAACATGTGGTAGTCTTAGAAGACACACCTGAAGCAGTGAGATCTCTGGTCATTGCTGATATGACTAGAGTTAGTCTTGTAAGGGACTGACTTCTTGAATTGTGAGGATAATGTAACTTCTGTTTGTTTCTCTTTCATTTGAATCAAATATATATATATATATATATCAAACAATGAACAAGAAGATAATTTATCCTACTAACCCAATTGGATAGTGAATACCACACTAATTTAATGAAATTATTAATACTTCCACTATTAATTTTGTGAATCAAACATTGCCTTAGTGTATTAATTTAACCTATAGTGTTAACGAGTAAAGCATTATTTATTGTTCACCTAGAGGTCATCACTCGCTAAATGATATTAATGAAAAAAAAATGAAATAACTTTTATTAAATGAAATAAAAAAATTAAATAACAATTGTTGTAATGAAATGCATCAATTTTTATATTAATTGATACTAATTATATTAACTTTCATTAATGAAATAATATTTTTTTCAAATTAAAACTGAAGAAAATGAAAAAATAACAATTTTTATATCTTATAAGGGCAACAAAAAAATATTACATAACAAAAAGTTATTTTACAACTTATTCAACAAAAAACTATTCTGTTGATTAAATCAATAATCCCACAGTTACACCAAATAGGTTAACAGTTTATATTTAAAGCTATAATCCATAATCCGTTAAGTCATAATCTATAACTACTTTCCCACAATTACACCAAACAGGGCCATTATCATCGCGTTTTAGTCGAATTTAAAAAAGGGCGAATTACATTAATTGTCTCTATAGTTTGGGACTTGTGTTACTTTGGTCCTTGACTTTTCAATTGTGACATATTTGACCATGAATTTTGAATCTTGTTCCAAATAAGGACAATTGAAAATACTATTGCTTAATTTTAAGGGCAAAATCGTCAATTTGATAAAATATAAACTAATTTGAAAAAATAAATATTAAAAAAATATTTTTTAATTTTAAAAAATTATTTCTACCCACTAAAGGTAAAATTATGTAAAATTGATAAATCTTTTAGACATGTATTTATTTATTTATTTTATCAAATTAATTTTTATTATGTGTTTGGATGATAATTATATAATGGATGTTTGTTTTCATTTTCATTAAATTAGTTTGGGACATTTACGTACAAGTTTATGAACTCATACTCCATTTGGGAATAAGCTATTTTAGTAACTTTTTAGCTTTTTACTAAAAGATGTGCAGAAAAATAGATAGAGTGATATGACAACTTATAGCGACTTTTTGGCTAAAATAGGTACTCCCCAAACGAAGCCTAAGTCTTAATTAAGATTTTTTGAACCTTCAAGTCTCATTAAATTTTTAATAGTCAAAATTGTCCTTCAAACAATGATTGTTCATCATTTATGATTATCTATAAAGGAACATGATGATTTGACATTTATTTTGATTTTCAAAACTTTAAAACAACTTTTAAATTCAAAAAGCTAAAAAAAAAAAATTATGTTTAAAAAAAAAAATTAAGCATGTTTATTTTCATTTTTTGGAAAACACTTTTCAAAAAATTATACTTTTTTATTTTCCGTATTTTTTTGTTTTTATTAAAATTTTTAATATTTTAAGCAATTTTTTTAGTTTTTAGACACACTAACAGAAATATACTTAAAAAGTATAATTTTTGTGAAAAAAAAATATTTAAAAAATTCACTAAATAACAAAAAAAAAATGAAAATTCAGTGTATTTTTCATATTTTTGTGTATTTATTAATTTTTTAAAATATTTTACTTTTTAGATATATCTAAGTAAGGTGTATCTAAAAAAGTAAAAAAGAAATGTTGAAAATTTTAAAAATATTTAGTAAAAACAAAAAAAAAAACTAAAAACAAAAAAACTCAATTTTCAAAAAAAACTGAATTCAGAAAACTGAAACCAAACCCACTGAATAAATATTTTGTTTGAAAAAATTGAAAAAACTGAATTATTTTTTTTTGCAAAACTGGAAATTTTAAAGGAGTATGATGATGGAACATTGATGTGTAAAACTGAAGAAAAAAAGTTTTAAATGAAAAAAACTAACAGTGATCTCAGTTTTAAAACTGGAAAAAATTAATAATATTCTCAGTTTTATTGGATAGTTGAATCAAAATAATAAGTAGAAGGGAAAAAACATTTAATCTCATGCTTTGTTTTTTTTATTTGTTGGTGAAACAATTATCTGGAATATTACTATGCAAAATTAATAATGTTCTTAGTTTTATAAATTGGGAAAATTTTATAATATTATCAGTTTTAGTAGATAAGACTTATTAGTTAAAAAAATCTTAAATAGAACCTGAGCTACCATAACATTTATAAATAGGATTTTTAGGTAATTAACTTAATTAGTTTAGATTTTTTTAAAAGTCAAATATCGCGACAACTTTGATATCATTATTAAACCAATCCATTAAATCAAAAAAATCCAAAACTAAAAACAATTCATATATTAAATATATTGATTACACATTAAAATCCTAACAACAACTCATTACATGATCATTATCCAAACACATAATAAAAATTAATTTAGTAAAAAAATAAATAAATAAATGTCTAAAAAATTTATTAATTTTATATAATTTTATCTTTAGTGGGCAGAAATAATTTTTAAAAATTTAAAAATACTTTATTAACATTTGTTTTTGTCAATTTAATTTATATTTTATTAAATTGATAATTTTACTCTTGAAATTAATCAGTGGTATCTTCAATAGTCCTTATTTGGAGCAAGATTCAAAATTTAAGATCAAATATATTATAATTGAAAATTTAAGAACTAAAGTGACACAAATCTCAAATTATAGAGACTGTTAATATAATTCACCCTTTTAAAAAATAAAACAATAATAATACGAGTAAACTACTAATATGTCTTAATAGTTAGACTTAATTCTCATAAAATCCTATTGAAAATAAATCTTGACAAAATCGTTGCTAAAAATAATTTTTTTGTGACAATTTTTTACATATGTTGTTAAAAATTGACAATTAGTGACTTTTTATTGTCATGATTTTTATAAATTGTTGCTAAAACTTATAATTAGTTACGTTTTCTGTGACGAATTTTTCAAATTGTCACTAAAAGTTGTGAATTAATGACACTTTTTTATGACGATTTTTTTAAACTGTCGCTAAAACTTATAATTAGTAACTTTTTTTAATAATTTTTATATTATCGTTAAAAATTAATAATTAGTGATATTTTTTTAATAGTATTTAATAAAAAATATCATTAATTATCGTAAGACGTATTAAACAATAAATTTACTTTAGGAGTCCCCTAATAATAATGCCAGCGGAATATCAAAAACAATGACCCTAATAATAATGCCAGCGGAATATCAAAAACAATGACTGCTCACAGATTTTGTCCGCTCATTCCGAGTAAAGGACTTTTAACAAGTTGACTGTTTTTTTAAATCTCCGTAATGATATGTTTTTTAAAAATTTAATTTTTTTTATAGTATAATTATTATATTTTAAAAATATTAAATTTTCAAAATTACCCTCTAATAATATTTTTTTTAAAAAATATCAATTATCATAATTATACTTTTTGTATTATTAATAAATTTAAAAGAATGGCAAAATAATAAATTTATATTATTTTATTTCTTAATTTTTGAAAATAGACTAATATTTTAAAACAATGACAAATGAAATAAAGGATTAATATTTTGAAATGAAAGGAGTAATAAGCCTTTTATGCAATATTTTAGAGTGTGGGTAACGGTTCCACCTCCACTCTTTTATATATTTTTTTTATAATTTCAAATTTTATTTTTATCTCTAATTTTTTATATCTTTATCTTAAAATTTTATTTTATTTATTAGAATTAAGTTATATGAAATAGTCATTCCTTCATCTCCCAAAATATTATTTTCTTACAATAATAAATAATAATTTTATTTGTAAAATGAGTATTATGATAAAATAATTATTCTATTTCACTTTATTTTAGTTAACGAAGCATGTCACTTAAATTTCTCTTTTTACTAATTATTTAATTTCATAATAAAAAAATTGTACAAAAGTTAGGCACCGTTTGGGAAGAGCTAAAGTAGACTTTTTTGACTATTTTAGCCACAAAAGATAAAATAGACTATTTTAACCACAAAAAATAAAATATCACATCCAATTCATAATCATTACACTTCTCTCACAAAAAAATTCAAAAAAACCAAAAATTCAAAAAATCCTGACCAAACCAAGTCTTTTAGCTCAGACTAAAATAACCAAAAAAAATCAAAAAAATAAAAAATCAACCCACTTCCCAAACTAACCCTTAAATAGCCTAACCCTACAACTACCAGCTTCAATTACTCTCCACTCTCCGCTCTAGCACTCATCCCTACCATCTCCTGCCACCTTGCCATTTCCGGCCCATTTTTTTTACCTTGCTCTATCCGGACTTTCTTATCTCACTCCATTTATTCTTTTTGCTTCTACTATTGTTTCTTGCGTTCTCTATCGATGGGATGTTGGTAGTGGTAAACATGATCCGAATTAATTTAAATTGAATTAAAATTAGAATTTATTTGTTATTTATGATTCTTAAAAAATTAGATTTAATCCAATCTGTTTAAATTGTAGAATCAATTCGAACCAATCCGTTTAAACACAGATTAGATCGATTTAGGACCACAGATTAAAATAATTAAATAACAAAAAAATATAAAATATTTTAATTTCATAAAAATATTAACATAATTGAACCCAAATCACTTTTTTTTTTCCAGCAATCCGCACTATTCTTTTCCACCAAAAGTTACAGCACTTGACTTCAAAAATAAAATAATTGAAACCTACAAAACCACCCACACTAACCAAAACAAATTCCCAACTACCGAACTCCCAAAACAACTTCACCCAATGCTGCACTCTTCATTCCTGAGACAACACCAACACACCTCCCATAGCCGAAAGCTCCATGGCCGGAAAACTCCCTTTATCAAAAATTATGGGGATTCAAGTTCGGGAAACAACCTGACAAACAACCTAATACATGGCCGAGCATCATAGTTCAGGGAAAAAAAACACCTCAGCAAAACTAAAAATCTAAAAGAGAAAATGTGA